ATGGGATTGGTCTGGGATGGGATTGGGCTGGGATGGGTCTAGGATGGGATGGGTCTAGGATGGGATTGGTCTAGGATGGGATTGGTCTAGGATGGGATACGTGTAGGATGGGATATGTCTAGGAGGGGATTGGTCTAGAACGGGGATTGGTCTAGGATGGGATTGGTCTAGGATGGGATAGGTCTAGGATGGGATTGGTGTAGGACAGGGATTGGTCTAGGATGGGATTGGTCTAGGATGGGATAGGTCTAGGATGGGATAGGTCTAGGATGGGGATTGGTCTAGGACGGGGATTGGTCTAGGACGGGTCTACCAGCACATAGTGGTCCTGCAGAATAATATATAAGACCAGATGGAGGACATGTGTGATTCTCTGTGACCCGGGGACTGTTTGTTTGTCAGGGGAACCTCCTGAGCACCAAGCACCATGTCAGCATGGAGTTTGAGAAGCTGCACCAGTTCCTGCGGGAGAGGGAGGAGAGGCTGCTCAGGGACCTGCAGCAAGAGGGAGACCTTATCCTGTCCGAGATGGAGGAAAGTCTCAGCAAGATCAAACAGAACTGCCAGGGGATCCTGCAGACCATCAGCAGCACCCAACCCCGGCTGTACGAGCAGGACGCCGTCTCCTTCCTGACTGTGAGTATACTCCACCCATAGCTGTACCCTGTCTCCTTCCTGACTGTGAGTATACTCCGCCCATAGCTGTACCCTGTCTCCTTCCTGACTGTGAGTATACTCCGCCCATAGCTGTACCCTGTCTCCTTCCTGACTGTGAGTATACTCCGCCCATAGCTGTACCCTGTCTCCTTCCTGACTGTGAGTATACTCCGCCCATAGCTGTACCCTGTCTCCTTCCTGACTGTGAGTATACTCCACCCATAGCTGTACCCTGTCTCCTTCCTGACTGAGAGTATACTCCGCCCATAGCTGTACCCTGTCTCCTTCCTGACTGTGAGTATACTCCGCCCATAGCTGTACCCTGTCTCCTTCCTGACTGTGAGTATACTCCGCCCATAGCTGTACCCTGTCTCCTTCCTGACTGTGAGTATACTCCACCCATAGCTGTACCCTGTCTCCTTCCTGACTGTGAGTATACTCCACCCATAGCTGTACCCTGTCTCCTTCCTGACTGTGAGTATACTCCACCCATAGCTGTACCCTGTCTCCTTCCTGACTGTGAGTATACTCCACCCATAGCTGTACCCTGTCTCCTTCCTGACTGTGAGTATACTCCACCCATAGCTGTACCCTGTCTCCTTCCTGACTGTGAGTATACTCCGCCCATAGCTGTACCCTGTCTCCTTCCTGACTGTGAGTATACTCCGCCCATAGCTGTACCCTGTCTCCTTCCTGACTGTGAGTATACTCCACCCATAGCTGTACCCTGTCTCCTTCCTGACTGAGAGTATACTCCGCCCATAGCTGTACCCTGTCTCCTTCCTGACTGTGAGTATACTCCGCCCATAGCTGTACCCTGTCTCCTTCCTGACTGTGAGTATACTCCACCCATAGCTGTACCCTGTCTCCTTCCTGACTGAGAGTATACTCCGCCCATAGCTGTACCCTGTCTCCTTCCTGACTGTGAGTATACTCCGCCCATAGCTGTACCCTGTCTCCTTCCTGACTGAGAGTATACTCCACCCATAGCTGTACCCTGTCTCCTTCCTGACTGTGAGTATACTCCACCCATAGCTGTACCCTGTCTCCTTCCTGACTGAGAGTATACTCCACCCATAGCTGTACCCTGTCTCCTTCCTGACTGTGAGTATACTCCGCCCATAGCTGTACCCTGTCTCCTTCCTGACTGAGAGTATACTCCGCCCATAGCTGTACCCTGTCTCCTTCCTTGCTGAGAGTATACTCCACCCATAGCTGTACCCTGTCTCCTTCCTGACTGAGAGTATACTCCGCCCATAGCTGTACCCTGTCTCCTTCCTGACTGAGAGTATACTCCACCCATAGCTGTACCCTGTCTCCTTCCTGACTGTGAGTATACTCCACCCATAGCTGTACCCTGTCTCCTTCCTGACTGAGAGTATACTCCGCCCATAGCTGTACCCTGTCTCCTTCCTGACTGAGAGTATACTCCACCCATAGCTGTACCCTGTCTCCTTCCTGACTGTGAGTATACTCCACCCATAGCTGTACCCTGTCTCCTTCCTGACTGAGAGTATACTCCGCCCATAGCTGTACCCTGTCTCCTTCCTGACTGAGAGTATACTCCACCCATAGCTGTACCCTGTCTCCTTCCTGACTGTGAGTATACTCCACCCATAGCTGTACCCTGTCTCCTTCCTGACTGTGAGTATACTCCGCCCATAGCTGTACCCTGTCTCCTTCCTGACTGAGAGTATACTCCACCCATAGCTGTACCCTGTCTCCTTCCTGACTGTGAGTATACTCCACCCATAGCTGTACCCTGTCTCCTTCCTGACTGAGAGTATACTCCACCCATAGCTGTACCCTGTCTCCTTCCTGACTGAGAGTATACTCCACCCATAGCTGTACCCTGTCTCCTTCCTGACTGTGAGTATACTCCGCCCATAGCTGTACCCTGTCTCCTTCCTTGCTGAGAGTATACTCCGCCCATAGCTGTACCCTGTCTCTACTGGCACTCCCATTGGCAGCCACAGAGCAGACCCCAGAATGTTAAGCAACAACAGAAATGTTTCAGATGCCAGGGGCCCTTGGATGGGGAGCATTGGTTCTTTTGGGCCCTTAGATGGGGAGCATTGGTTCCCGGGGGCCCCTTTGATGGGGAGCATTGGTTCCCGGAGACCCTTAGAGGGGGTTTGGCAGCCACAGAGCAGACCCCAGAATGTTAAGCAACAACAGAAATGTTTCAGATGCCAGGGGCCCTTGGATGGGGAGCATTGGTTCTTTTGGGCCCTTAGATGGGGAGCATTGGTTCCCGGGGGCCCCTTTGATGGGGAGCATTGGTTCCCGGAGACCCTTAGATGGGGAGCATTGGTTCCCGGAGACCCTTAGATGGGGAGCATTGGTTCCCGTGGGCCCCTTCGATGGGGAGCATTGGTTCCCGCGGGCCCCTTAGATGGGGAGCATTGGTTCCCGGAGACCCTTAGATGGGGAGCATTGGTTCCCGGAGACCCTTAGATGGGGAGCATTGGTTCCCGGAGACCCTTAGATGGGGAGCATTGGTTCCCGGAGGCCCTTAGATGAGGAGCATTGGTTCCAGGAGACCCTTAGATGGGGAGCATTGGTTCCCGGGGGCCCTTGGATGGGGAGCTTTAGTTCCCGGGGACCCTTCGATGGGGAGCACTGGTTCCCGGAGACCCTTAGATGGGGAGCATTGGTTCCCGGGGGCCCTTGGATGGGGAGCTTTAGTTCCCGGGGACCCTTCGATGGGGAGCACTGGTTCCCGGAGACCCTTAGATGGGGAGCATTGGTTCCCGGGGGCCCTTGGATGGGGAGCTTTAGTTCCCGGGGACCCTTCGATGGGGAGCACTGGTTCCCGGAGACCCTTAGATGGGGAGCATTGGTTCCCGGGGGCCCTTGGATGGGGAGCTTTAGTTCCCGGGGACCCTTCGATGGGGAGCACTGGTTCCCGGAGACCCTTAGATGGGGAGCATTGGTTCCCGGGGGCCCTTGGATGGGGAGCTTTAGTTCCCGGGGACCCTTCGATGGGGAGCACTGGTTCCCGGAGACCCTTAGATGGGGAGCATTGGTTCCCGGGGGCCCTTGGATGGGGAGCTTTAGTTCCCGGGGACCCTTCGATGGGGAGCACTGGTTCCCGGAGACCCTTAGATGGGGAGCATTGGTTCCCGGGGGCCCTTGGATGGGGAGCTTTAGTTCCCGGGGACCCTTCGATGGGGAGCACTGGTTCCCGGAGACCCTTAGATGGGGAGCATTGGTTCCCGGGGGCCCTTGGATGGGGAGCTTTAGTTCCCGGGGACCCTTCGATGGGGAGCACTGGTTCCCGGAGACCCTTAGATGGGGAGCATTGGTTCCCGGGGGCCCTTGGATGGGGAGCTTTAGTTCCCGGGGACCCTTCGATGGGGAGCACTGGTTCCCGGAGACCCTTAGATGGGGAGCATTGGTTCCCGGGGGCCCTTGGATGGGGAGCTTTAGTTCCCGGGGACCCTTCGATGGGGAGCACTGGTTCCCGGAGACCCTTAGATGGGGAGCATTGGTTCCCGGGGGCCCTTGGATGGGGAGCTTTAGTTCCCGGGGACCCTTCGATGGGGAGCACTGGTTCCCGGAGACCCTTAGATGGGGAGCATTGGTTCCCGGGGGCCCTTGGATGGGGAGCTTTAGTTCCCGGGGACCCTTCGATGGGGAGCACTGGTTCCCGGAGACCCTTAGATGGGGAGCATTGGTTCCCGGGGGCCCTTGGATGGGGAGCTTTAGTTCCCGGGGACCCTTCGATGGGGAGCACTGGTTCCCGGAGACCCTTAGATGGGGAGCATTGGTTCCCGGGGGCCCTTGGATGGGGAGCTTTAGTTCCCGGGGACCCTTCGATGGGGAGCACTGGTTCCCGGAGACCCTTAGATGGGGAGCATTGGTTCCCGGGGGCCCTTGGATGGGGAGCTTTAGTTCCCGGGGACCCTTCGATGGGGAGCACTGGTTCCCGGAGACCCTTAGATGGGGAGCATTGGTTCCCGGGGGCCCTTGGATGGGGAGCTTTAGTTCCCGGGGACCCTTCGATGGGGAGCACTGGTTCCCGGAGACCCTTAGATGGGGAGCATTGGTTCCCGGGGGCCCTTGGATGGGGAGCTTTAGTTCCCGGGGACCCTTCGATGGGGAGCACTGGTTCCCGGAGACCCTTAGATGGGGAGCATTGGTTCCCGGGGGCCCTTGGATGGGGAGCTTTAGTTCCCGGGGACCCTTCGATGGGGAGCACTGGTTCCCGGAGACCCTTAGATGGGGAGCATTGGTTCCCGGGGGCCCTTGGATGGGGAGCTTTAGTTCCCGGGGACCCTTCGATGGGGAGCACTGGTTCCCGGAGACCCTTAGATGGGGAGCATTGGTTCCCGGGGGCCCTTGGATGGGGAGCTTTAGTTCCCGGGGACCCTTCGATGGGGAGCACTGGTTCCCGGAGACCCTTAGATGGGGAGCATTGGTTCCCGGGGGCCCTTGGATGGGGAGCTTTAGTTCCCGGGGACCCTTCGATGGGGAGCACTGGTTCCCGGAGACCCTTAGATGGGGAGCATTGGTTCCCGGGGGCCCTTGGATGGGGAGCTTTAGTTCCCGGGGACCCTTCGATGGGGAGCACTGGTTCCCGGAGACCCTTAGATGGGGAGCATTGGTTCCCGGGGGCCCTTGGATGGGGAGCTTTAGTTCCCGGGGACCCTTCGATGGGGAGCACTGGTTCCCGGAGACCCTTAGATGGGGAGCATTGGTTCCCGGGGGCCCTTGGATGGGGAGCTTTAGTTCCCGGGGACCCTTCGATGGGGAGCACTGGTTCCCGGAGACCCTTAGATGGGGAGCATTGGTTCCCGGGGGCCCTTGGATGGGGAGCTTTAGTTCCCGGGGACCCTTCGATGGGGAGCACTGGTTCCCGGAGACCCTTAGATGGGGAGCATTGGTTCCCGGGGGCCCTTGGATGGGGAGCTTTAGTTCCCGGGGACCCTTCGATGGGGAGCACTGGTTCCCGGAGACCCTTAGATGGGGAGCATTGGTTCCCGGGGGCCCTTGGATGGGGAGCTTTAGTTCCCGGGGACCCTTCGATGGGGAGCACTGGTTCCCGGAGACCCTTAGATGGGGAGCATTGGTTCCCGGGGGCCCTTGGATGGGGAGCTTTAGTTCCCGGGGACCCTTCGATGGGGAGCACTGGTTCCCGGAGACCCTTAGATGGGGAGCATTGGTTCCCGGGGGCCCTTGGATGGGGAGCTTTAGTTCCCGGGGACCCTTCGATGGGGAGCACTGGTTCCCGGAGACCCTTAGATGGGGAGCATTGGTTCCCGGGGGCCCTTGGATGGGGAGCTTTAGTTCCCGGGGACCCTTCGATGGGGAGCACTGGTTCCCGGAGACCCTTAGATGGGGAGCATTGGTTCCCGGGGGCCCTTGGATGGGGAGCTTTAGTTCCCGGGGACCCTTCGATGGGGAGCACTGGTTCCCGGAGACCCTTAGATGGGGAGCATTGGTTCCCGGGGGCCCTTGGATGGGGAGCTTTAGTTCCCGGGGACCCTTCGATGGGGAGCACTGGTTCCCGGAGACCCTTAGATGGGGAGCATTGGTTCCCGGGGGCCCTTGGATGGGGAGCTTTAGTTCCCGGGGACCCTTCGATGGGGAGCACTGGTTCCCGGAGACCCTTAGATGGGGAGCATTGGTTCCCGGGGGCCCTTGGATGGGGAGCTTTAGTTCCCGGGGACCCTTCGATGGGGAGCACTGGTTCCCGGAGACCCTTAGATGGGGAGCATTGGTTCCCGGGGGCCCTTGGATGGGGAGCTTTAGTTCCCGGGGACCCTTCGATGGGGAGCACTGGTTCCCGGAGACCCTTAGATGGGGAGCATTGGTTCCCGGGGGCCCTTGGATGGGGAGCTTTAGTTCCCGGGGACCCTTCGATGGGGAGCACTGGTTCCCGGAGACCCTTAGATGGGGAGCATTGGTTCCCGGGGGCCCTTGGATGGGGAGCTTTAGTTCCCGGGGACCCTTCGATGGGGAGCACTGGTTCCCGGAGACCCTTAGATGGGGAGCATTGGTTCCCGGGGGCCCTTGGATGGGGAGCTTTAGTTCCCGGGGACCCTTCGATGGGGAGCACTGGTTCCCGGAGACCCTTAGATGGGGAGCATTGGTTCCCGGGGGCCCTTGGATGGGGAGCTTTAGTTCCCGGGGACCCTTCGATGGGGAGCACTGGTTCCCGGAGACCCTTAGATGGGGAGCATTGGTTCCCGGGGGCCCTTAGATGGGGAGCATTGGTTCCCGGGGGCCCTTGGATGGGGAGCTTTAGTTCCCGGGGACCCTTCGATGTGAATCATTGGTTCCCGGAGACCCTTAGATGGGGAGCATTGGTTCCCGGAGACCCTTAGATGGGGAGCATTGGTTCCCGGAGACCCTTAGATGGGGAGCATTGGTTCCTGGAGACCCTTAGATGGGGAGTATTGGTTCCCGGAGACCCTTAGATGGGAGCATTGGTTCCCGGAGACCCTTAGATGGGGAGCATTGGTTCCCGGGACCCTTCGATGGGAATCATTGGTTCCCGGAGACCCTTCGATGGGAATCATTGGTTCCCGGAGACCCTTAGATGGGGAGCATTGGTTCCCGGAGACCCTTAGATGGGGAGCATTGGTTCCCGGAGACCCTTAGATGGGAAGCATTGGTCCCTCGGGGCCCTTGGATGGGGAGCATTGGTTCCCGGAGACCCTTAGATGGGAAGCATTGGTCCCTCGGGGCCCTTGGATGGGGAGCATTGGGCGTGAGAAGATGCAGTCAGTGATCATTGTTTTCTCTTTGTGTTTTGCAGGATATAAAGTCTTGCATGGATATGTGAGTATCTCCTGGTCACTATGGAAACGTCATGTATATGTCTTGATGCTGTGAGGTGACAATCTGAGCCCTTCACATCCGGGGATCTGGGCCCAGCTGCCACCAGTGACACAATCTACATGAATATCAAAGTCAGAAACATCCCCGTGCCCCTATCCCTTGGCCCTGATGAAGGGGGAGTTGTGAGCCTCTGAAACGCGTTGGCTGTATTCTCCGACCTGTTCTCCCGATACATAAGCTATCACTGGACCCGATACAATCCCGCGGCGTTCCCTCTTCTTCTACACACTGTCATAGAGGGGGAGGGGATGTATTAGAGAATCGGTATTATACGCTCGGAGAACCATGGTGGGAATTGGTTTGTATTCTCTGTATCAGGCGACATATAAATGCGGCTTTGATGAGCTCCTCTCTCTCTCTCTCCAGATGTTACGGAGGTTACAGAGACGGGTTTCCAGCGCACAACGTGGTCACTCCTCGGGATTTTGGCTACGGCGCGGTGAAGGATCTGATCCAGTACACGGCCTGGAAGGATATGAAGTCCTACATCACTCCCGGTGAGAAGATTTATTTATTCTATGGAATTGTCTAATTTCCCCGTTGGTGATTTGGAGATGCACCGATCAGTCATATTTGGAGATGACGCCAGGATGCACTATGGGAAGAAGACAAGCCAGTGGAGGCAGTGTGATGGGCAATGTTCTGCTGGGAAACCTCGGTCCGGCCATTCATGTGGATGTGACTCTGACACGTACCACCGACCTAAACATTGTTACTGGCCAAGTCCCCCCTTCATGGAGACGCTATTCCCTGATGGCAGTGGCCTCTCTCAGCAGGATAATGCGCCCGGCCACACGGCACACATGGTTGAAGAATGGTTTGAGGAACACAACAATGAGTTTGAGGTGATGACTTGGCCTCCTAATTCTCCACATCTCAGTCCAATCGATCATCTGTGGGATGTGCTGGAGAAACAAGTCCGACCCATGGAGGCCGATCACCTCACAACTCACAGGACTTAAAGGATCTGCTACTGACGGCTTGGTGCCAGATACCACAGCACACCTTCAGAAGTCTAGTGTGGTCCATGCCTGGACGGGTCAGGAGAAGGGGGACCTACTCAGTATTAGGTGGGGTCATCCAGATACCACAGCATATCTTCAGAGGTCTAGTGGAGTCCATGCCTGGACAGGTCAGGAAAAGGGGGACCTACTCAGTATTAGGGGGGGTCATCCAGATACCACAGCACACCTTCAGCGGTCTAGTGGAGTCCATGCCTGGACAGGTCAGGAAAAGGGGGACCTGCTCAGTATTAGGGGGGGTCATCCAGATACCACAGCACACCTTCAGAGGTCTAGTGTGGTCCATGCCTGGACGGGTCAGGAGAAGGGGGACCTACTCAGTATTAGGGGGGGTCATCCAGATACCACAGCACACCTTCAGAGGTCTAGTGGAGTCCATGCCTGGACGGGTCAGGAAAAGGGGGACCTACTCAGTATTAGGGGGGGTCATCCAGATACCACAGCACACCTTCAGAGGTCTAGTGGAGTCCATGCCTGGACGGGTCAGGAAAAGGGGGACCTATTCAGTATTAGGCAGGGGGTCACAATTTTATGGCTGATCAGTATAAAGTTTGCACATCCTTCAAACCCATTTCCAGCTCTCAGAGTGTAGGCTTTTACTGCATGTTGGTGGGCAGGCATCCAAAGCAGAGCCGTGTCTCCATCTATTGCTGAACATCATATATGTTACAAAGTGATGGTTTGGGCATTATATTGTGGAAAAGCCACGTGGTGTATTCTCATCTTTAGTCATGAGTAGAGTTTGGTTGAATTTTAGATGTGTTGGGGAATCCTGCAGGAGGATCCCCAAGCTTCATCTCACGCCTCTGCTACCGCACATTGGGTGTTCCCAGGAGCATGCTGAGGGGCATAAAACAAATTGCAGTCCAGCAAGGTTATTGGGAGCCCCTCGCAGTCACAATAGATGGTGTGCAGACTCAGGATATCAAGCACTGAGATCTTACCACCACGGCCCTCAAGAGATAAAAGAAACTGCTGGGTGGTTTCCTTTCCCAGCATCCATCACAATCCTGAGATATGGGTGGGGTTAGGGCCGGATTTCCCACAAGGCCAACCAAGAGCAGAGCTAAATGTACAGCGGGGAAGCCGACACTTGTTTTATACAAGTGATCTCAGCGATGTCACCGAGACCACTTATATGCAGCCTGCAGGTCTGCCATTCTCCATGGGGGGTGGGATTGGCTGGTAGGGTAGGGGGGGCCCATTGAGGAACCTGGCCTTGGGGCAGCAGAGAGAGTAAATCCGGCCCTGGGTGGGATGACCCTTTAAAGTTTGGTAGTGCCGGTAGAGTACTGGTACTCATGAGTCCCTATTGTGTAAGCTGTCCTTATATTCCAATAACTTGTCTTTAACTCTCTTCCAGCATTACCGAATATAATTATGGATCCCGCCTCAGCTCATCTCAACCTAATCCTTTCCGAAGACCTGACCAGCGTGCGATACAGCGATAACAAGCAGTCCATGCCGGAAAACTCGCGCCGATTCGACTACTGCTGCTGCGTCCTGGGCACCGAAGGCTTCTCCACCGGCCGCCATTACTGGGTGATCGACGTTGGCAACAAGACCAAGTGGAACCTTGGCGTCGCCAAGGAGTCTGTGAACCGGCGGGGTGGGATCACTCTGTCCCCTGAGAACGGCTTCTGGATCCTGTGGCTGAGGAACGGGCACGAATTCAAAGCCTTGGACGTCCCCTACAGGGCTCTCACCCTAAGAAACAAACCTCAACGCGTCGGGATTTACCTAGACTACGAGGGTGGCGTGCTCTCCTTCTACAATGCCGATGACATGACTCACATCTACACCTTTGTTACCTCCTTCTCCGAGAACATCTACCCGTATTTCTGCCCGTGCCTCAACGATTCCGGGAAGAACGGAGGCCCACTGAAAGTCCTCCACCACATACCATGACGCGGTACCAAGGCCAGAACCAAGGGACCAATCTCGTCATCCATTCCATTGCTGTTCAGTGTCCTTCAAAAATAATCTTCTATAGGAACAGTTTCCCGATCTCCAAGTATTCTCGCTCACTCGCCCTCTTCCTCCCCAGGCACATATTGATCTACTATCGGTGTGTTCATGTCAAGGACAATTCCTCCATTAACCTCTGTTTTCCTGACTCCGCCTCTATATACTGCACTGTACAATTCCAGCTTTTTGGAACGCTGCTCCGACCTTTTCTCTAATGGTTTGTTGCAATGTCCTTCCTACGTTTCTGATGAGTCACAAGCTCCTCCTCCCTTTTCTGATGTGCCACAAGCTCCTCCCACCTTTTTCCATAGGGTGCCCCCCCCCCCACCTTTTCTCATATGATGCTTCACAAGCCCCTCCCCCTTTTCTTCAAACGGGACTCGCAGCCTCTTCTGTTCTGGAAGCGTTCAAGTCTTGAAGGTCACTGCATGAAATCCCATCGTGTGCCACGGCTGAGAAACTGGCAGGTCGGTGTATGTTCACTTTGCAATAAGGCTTTGTAGAGGAAGACAAGTGCAGCCCTGTGCTTTACAGACCACGAAGAGAAAATGATGGGGGCGGGGCTTATCTACAGCGAACTGTGAATGAGTATATACTATGCGAAGTGGCAAGGCAGAAGGAGGCGAATCTGTGGGATGTTCAGGAGACGTACCAGAAATCGGATGAACAGTTATATGGGTGAAAATTATCGCTTGATCACCAATGTACTCCGAGCTAAACTATTGTTGTCACCAGATCTGGTCATTTAGAATCATTGGGTATTGTGTCAAAGAATATGACCAGCTCACTGGTGACGTACTAGGCTGAATATGGCTTCGGCATAGAAAGTGGCGGCCGCTCTTGGACAGGGACAGGTACACTTTAATACTGATGGAAGGAGCTTGTGTATTGTCATTATCTTACACACAAATCTCTCAATAAACATTGAATTGGAAGGAAACGCTTGTCACGATTGGTTTACTTTGTCAACGTTTTAACATGGGAACTGGATGATTGTTACCAAAATTGGGACCAGAATCCTCATCTGTCTGTGGTCACCTACAAACCTACCAGAGGGGTAAACCAAGCCCTGAACCTCAACCGTAAACCTGAACCTAACACCTCAACCTAACCCTGAACCTCAACCCAACCTCAAACAAGAGCCCAACGCCTAAAACCAAGCCCTGAACCTTGACCCAACCTGAAACAAGAGCCCAACACCTAAAACTAACCCTGAACCTCAATCTAACCTCAAACAAGAGCCCAACACCTAAAACTAACCCTGAACCTCAACCTAACCTCAAACAAGAGCCCAACACCTAAAACCAACCCTGAACCTCAACCTGACCTCAAACAAGAGCCCAACACCTAAAACCAACCCTGAACCTCAACCTAACTTTAAACAGAGCCCAACACCTAAAACCAAGCCCTGCACCTCAACCTAACCTCAAACAAGAGCCCAACGCCTAAAACCAAGCCCTGCACCTCAACCTAACCTCAAACAGAGCCCAACACCTAAAACCAAGCCCTACACATCAACCTAACTTTAAACAAGAGCCCAAAAGCCTAAACCTAACCTTGAACCTCAACCTAACCTCAAACAAGAGTCCAACACCTAAAACTAACCCTGAATCTCAAAATAACCTCAAACAAGAGCCCAACACCTAAAACTAACCCTGAACCTCAACCTAACCTCAAACAAGAGCCCAACGCTTAAACCTAACCCTGAACCTCAACCTAACTTCAAACAAGAACCCAACACCTAACTCTGAACCTCAACATAATCTTAAAAAAAGCCCCAAGATCATCTAAAAATAACTTTGAACCTCAATCTAACTTTATAACAGAGCCCAACAACACCTAACCCTGAACCTCAACCCAATCTTAAACTGGAGCCCAACGCCTAAAACCAAACATTTATATCTACGGTAGCATTTAAAGTAAAATCTAAGTAGTTCCCATCCCTCGTGACCAGAGCTCATTAAAGCCAAGATGCCCGGACTGGTTGATTCCTAGACTCCGGCCTGCAGAGTAGCCCTGAAGAAAGGGGGGAGTGGGGGGGG